AATTTATCATGTCAACTTCACTATGGGGACTGTTTTCTTTTCAAGAGCCTGTGGATTAAAAAAAAAAAAAAGAAAAGAAAAAGCAAAGAAAAAGCATAATGTGATGTGTTTAAAAAACTACACATCTGAAATGTTTCAGACATTTCAGGCTGTGCTATACCCCCCCAGAAAATAAAATGTGAGGAATTTCACTGCCTTCTCATTATCTCAGCATTGTGTGAATCACAGCAAGGAGATTTGAAGATCAGCCATGGCTGTGGCATGGCAGAAACCTGTCCTCATCTCCCCACAACCCTCCTGCACCTTTGGGCCAGGGCCCTGATCCTGCCTTTGCGTGCTATGGTAGTGGCACCTCGGGACAGGAACATCCTTTCGGTATATCAATCGTACCTCATGGAAAGGGGTCCCAGTGCCTGGGGACACCAAAGAAAACTAATTATGTACATTTTATGTACACTTATATGTACAAATATCCTTAAGTAATAACTGTTGAGTCTGGCAAGATTAGTTTTAAATGTAGACACTCTTCCTGATTTTACTTTGGTCTTACCTGAACTTCTGGTAGCACTTTACAAACTGCAGCACTTGTGTCAGGTGTTGCTAAAGTCTGTGTCACTGTTTTGGATTAATTCACTCAGAAGTTGTCTAGTTCCATGTAGAAATTTGGATATGACTAGAGTTTGGCATGGCTTTGTTTTCCTGCAGTATGTTAAGGTGTGTAATTGTACAGGTAAATATAAAACCAAATTGTATTGATGTAAGCTAGGATTTTCAAGGGAATTTCAACATGGTGAAAAGCATTCAAGTGATTTAAATCTGAATTCCTGTCTCCAGCCTTTAAATCATCTGGGCACATGAGAAAATGTTTGCCCCTGCTGCTGTTGCACTTCGGCAGGATTTGGGTGCCAGGGTCTCTCTGCAAATACCTGCAGTGATTCTCACTTTGTCCTGCCTGCTCACAAAGAGCTAAGAGCCCCTCTGTCTCCCTACCTGCTGGGTCCCTCCTTCCTGTGTGTCAGTAAGAACCTTGGTCTCTTATTTAGGACCCCTCCCTTCCAGGTCCTGTTTCATGAGGTCAGTGTTGGTGCTGGGGTTTGCAGCACGGGCAGCCTGCAGCCTTGCAACTCTCAGGTGCAAACACTTGCCATGGGTGGAAGCAGAAGCACACTGTCTTGGTGCAGCTCTGTCCTCCGTGTGGGGGAAACATTGATCTCCTTTTGTACCAGTACACAGTGGGTCTGCTGTGCTGGAGCTGGCTGGGGGCTGCTTCATGATGCCAAACGTGATGGCTGTCTGTCCCTGCACTCGTGACAGGTAGTAAGGCACAGTCTTGTGCTGCTGCAAACCACCTTGTGGTCCCCAGCACCCCTTCACTCAAGCAGTTTGTTATCAGGGGTCACTACTAATTTGGGCAGTGCCTGAGGTAGCACAGCCTCCAGCTGGGGTGACTGGCAGGCTGCCCACCAGCATCAGGAGATCAGAGTTACCTGTGCTGGGCCCCCACCGCTCCCTTCCTGGGAGCTGGAGACTTATCAGCGGTGCAGACAGAACTGGGATTTGCTGCTTCAAGCAGAAAGGGTCGAGGGCTAGGGTAGTGTGCTGGTCCTATAACAAGAGGGGCAGGAGGTTTCTGCCCTGCTTTGGTACTGGCAAAGCCAAGAGTGAGATCAATGCTCTCTGGCTTTGTCTTGCCCAGAGCCTGAGGTGAAAAGCTCTTTGCAAAAGTCTGCTGAGTCCTCTAACAAGGGCAAGGGCAACAGCCAGTCTTTACAAAGGAAACTCAGTCCTTTTCTAAAGTCTTTTAAAAGTCATGGTATCCTTCACAAAGGCATTTTGTCCAGGTAAACAGTATATGCTGACAATCAGCAGTGAAAGAACCAAATACAGAAATATTTATCACCTTTTTACTTTCTGCTTCTACCAGGAACCACTGCATCCCAGCTGAAAATACCTCAACAGGTGGAAGGTATATCTGCAAGGACACACCTATTGTCAGCCCTTGCCCGTATCCTCTGGGCTGGAGCCAGGATCAGGGATTAGCTGAACTCCCAAGCAGACCTGTCTAGTATGGTGGAGCTTCATGGACACTTCTGCACATGGATTAAAGGTAAAGTGATTTCTAATAATTTAAGAGTTTTTTAACAACAAAAGCATTTTCTTAGGGGCAGGAAACACTTTTTTTTTCTTCTGTCCAGGGTTTGGCACATTAAATTTTGTGCAGACACAGCTTCTGTCACTAATAGTGCTGAATGCACTGTATTCTCATACTGTACTGAAGAGATGAGTAACAAGCCTATCAACTGTACTTGCGCTTACACCGTATTTAATCCTGTTCTGGTTGCTCTGCTACGTATTCATAAAAAACAAAAAGGAAACAGAAGCACAGAGCAAGCCAACAGATGTCTACCTGGCTCTTAATTGGATTTTATGTGTCCCCAGTGTAGCAAATACAGCATTATTTACAGCCAGGCTCTAAGAATTAGATACATCTGGAGGAGTGGCAAAACCTGAACCAGGCTTCAGGAGCTGATAGATTAACTGAAATGAAGAGCTGCCCCATTTTCCTCTTCTCATCTTCTCCCTTCCCACCTATGTACCTGCTCCCCATTGTGTGTCAAATCAAACCAAGATATTGCCCAAGGGAACGCTTATAAAAATGAAAAATGCCATCAAAAAAGTGAATTTCTGCTCTTGTGGAGCTTCATCAGCATTTTCTAATTGTACAGCAATGATGATAATAAAAAGGCTGCCCTTTGCTCTCAGCTATAATTTGGATAATCAACTGAAAGCCATAATGAAACTGTCTGTGATTGCTTTCTGCTGGGCTGCTAGTTCGCAGAAACTCATTGTTGGGGAGGATTAAAAGTTATGACTCCTGCTACATGGATATGCCACTGTCTTCCAAAGGAACATGTGGCTTGTAATTCTCTTATGTATAGCTTTATTACATGTAAAGCTTAGAGTGTAAAGCTCTAAATTTGAGATTTTTTTTTTTTTTACGTTTTTAAGCATCAAGGTTAACCGTGCCAAATCATATGCATGCCTAGGATGGGTGGATGTGTGGACACAAAAGATTTCAGGGATGGCCTTAAAATCCCTGAGGACTGGTGTATGGTAGCAGCATACCATACTGTCAGTGCTCTGTCCATATGTACATCACCCACTGGCTGCAGAGCAACAGGCAAGCCAGATTTACCTCTGGGAGGAAGGCAGGAGCTAAGTCATGTTTTGAATCTTTGCTTTGTGGGCTCTGGATGCAGTTAGGGGTATTTTGGATGTGTGAGATATTGGGTGTTGGTGTTCCTCAGCATTCAAATGTGAGCTGTCTGTGATGTACTGTGGGTATGTCTTGACTAGCACATCAAGTGCTGGATGTGAAGTACTTTTGGTCCACATTGCCCTTCCATCCACATCCACTGAGGAGGAGTGAGGAGCTCCTGTGCAAGGGCTTGGGAGCAGCCTTCTGCCTTGGCCAGAAAACGGGCTCTGCCACAGCAGCTGCAGCCTGTGACCCCCTAGTCTGGCTTCTGAAATAGGTCTGTTCTCCTGTGTGCCCTGAACATGCCGTGGGCTTCAGGGCTTTCAGGGGAAGCCGCTGAAAACCAGGGTGGTCATTTAGGTGTTTGCGAATGCGTGGATTGGAGGATTGGAATTCCTTACAGTCAGGCAGCTGAGCGTGACCACCGCGGTGGTCCTGGCAGGAGTCCGCGGTCCCCAGGGCGCCGGGCAGGGACCTCTGCCTTGGCACGGTCTCGTCGTTCGGTCGCGCTGCGCCCCAGCGCCTGCTGCCGCCTGAGAGGGAAGGAAGGGGCTGGGAACGCGGCTCTGAGGCTGAGCGGCGGGCGACCGGAGTCCCGGCCAGGAATGTGGCAGCACAGCTGCTGCAGCCGGGCAGGGACAGTTTCTTTTCCCGCCGAGGCTCAGCTTTCCGGGAGCCGGGAGCGCTGCCCCGCCGGGCAGCTGGGAGCGGGCAGCGGCGGGAGACATCGGCGGTAGATGCTGCCGTGCCCCACTTGTACCCGGCTTGATGTACCATTGCCGGAGCAAAGCAAACGCAGGCAGGACCTCTGCACCCTTCCCTTCCGCCGCCCAGACTTTGCCTCCGTTCGTCCCAATCCCCTTGTGGAGGGGCGAGGCCCCGGCCCCCTCCCGCGG